GTCTGCCGCGCCATGTGGTCACCTCCGGGGCAGGTGGGAATCGAACTCATGCGGAAGTGGCTTTAGCTTCTCAGTGCTGTGTTTTAACCCGCTGTGCCACCAGGGAGGGCCGGAAATTTAATTCTTAATCTTATATAACTACATTTGGAAAGTATTTTTGTGTGTAGAGTTATACACATATGTGTTGTGAGCAGTCCATTAGTCAAGTGCTAACAATCTGAATAGCCCCAACACAATGAACTCACTGCAATATTGAAAGAAAGTTATATGGAAGTTTTTGTTAGTGTGGGTTTTGTTTTTGTTTTTGTTTTTCTGTTATGTAAGAACAGCATTTACTGAGTGTGAAAGCTACATGAAAAACAGCAGCAATCTGCCTGAAAAATGAATGCAGCTAAGAGGGCAGTGCCTTGGAGGCAGTCTCTAGATTCCCACTCTCTACTTTGCCAATCTATGCCTCAGAGAATACCACATTTCATAGATTGAAACACAAATTATAGTACTACCACCCAGTGAAACAGCCACAAAAAAAGTTTGCATCTTTCCCCTCCACTCATAAATTTTTATAGTTTCCTCTTAGTTCTTTTGCTGGATAGCCATAAATGTCATAATTTTGTACAGTTCTAAGCCATGCGTGATGTAGGAATCAAAGTCTATATTTTTATTCCTTCAATAAGTATCCCACAAGGATCAAAATTTGCAAAGCCCTCTATTAAGTGCTAAAGCTATCAGTGTGTATAAAATAGATAATCCAGATCTTTGGGGGTATTTACAAACTAGTACAGAAAGTAAATACTGAACAAAAAATAGAGTTGTGTAAGGTTTCTGAACAATTGCTGCAAAGTTAATGGCTTGAAACAAGAGAAATTCATTTGCTCATGTCTTAAAACTCATAAACACATAAACAAGGTGTTGGCAGACTTTCTGGAAGCTTTAGGGGAGATTCCATTTTTTGGCTCTTCCAATTTCAGTAGTTGCCAGTATTCCATGGCATAAAGACACATCATATTGACTGATTTCAAGTCCTTTTGGCATGTCTCTACTCTGTGTTTCTCTCATATCAGGACCCAATTTGTATGATAGTATAGAGAATCTGCAGTAATCTTGTCATGTCAAGATCAGTAACTTAATTATATCCACAAAGAATGTTTTATAAATAAAGTTTTAAAAATGCAGAAATTAAACTAGAAATCCCTGGTAGTATTATTCAAACAACTATATTGATGACATGAGAGTATAAGACCTATAAGTCATATCATAGGAGCAAGTATTAGCAATGGTTCACAATCATTGTTAACAGTCAACATTCTTTCAAGAAGTCTTAAGTTAAATACTTACCAAGGTAATATTGAAATCATATATATTTTGAGAGAAAACCATTTATTACCTTCTATCATGTGGACCTGCTTCCTGGAACTATGATTCAAGTACAATTCACATTAGTTGTCTTTTATTGAAAATCAAAAATGTCTTTAAGGCATCAGGCCTATAATAAAAATGAGTCATATGTTCATGGTAAAAAAAATAAGGAATAATGAGGCCCTTCAGAAACTGGAAGAAAATTAATAAAAGAGCTTAGTGCTTAATAATCTCCCAGAACCATAAACACACAGAAATTCATGAATAGACATATTATAGCAGAAACATTGAATGCCAAAGACCAGGAAAAAACCTTGAAAGTGGAAAGAGATAAAAGACTCATTACATTGAAGGAAGTCCAAAACTAAAATATCATTTCTCAAAAGACACACTTGGAGGTGAGAAGACAGTGAAGTGACATATTCATAGTGCTAAATAGAAAACTGTCAAACAAGAAACTTATATCCTAAAAAAAAAAAAACAAAAAACTATCATTTAAAAATTAAGGTGAATTACCTCATGTTTATTGCTGCTTTATTTGCAACAGGAAAGACATGGAATGAACCCAAATGCTCAAAAGTAGATGACTGGATTAAAAAAAATGTGGTACATAAGTAAAATGGAACATTACTCAGCAATCAAAAAAGATAAACACATGCCTTTTGCAGCAGCATGGATGCAGCTGGAAGGGATCACGCTTAGTGTAATAAACCAGAAAGAAAAAGAAAAATACCAGGTGGTTTCATTAATAGCAGGAGCAAAAAGGACTGGGGGTGGGGGGAGGGCAATAATAATAATAATGAACAACTATATAGTAGATATATAGTAGAGACATTTTATGGGGGTGAGTGGGAATGGGATCAAAAATTGGGGGGAGTGCACGGGACTATGATGATGGCACACGAATGAATTGGTGATGATGGGAAGTCAACAGGGATTATAACTGAGATGGAAAAAGGCACAAATGATGTAAAGATAAAATATTATAATAAAATAAAATTAAAAAATAATTAAGATGAATTAAAGACAATCCCAGGAAAAAGTGAGAATTCAATACCAGTAAATAAGCCTTAAAGACTAAAGGAAGTCTTTTAGCTCAAGTAAGTGGTGACATCTGACAGTAATTCAAAACCACATAAAAATGCCACCAACTCCATAAAAGTTAAGCTTAATTAATTATTTATTTTATAAATAGCAAAACGGTAATTTCATATTTATTTTTATTTTGACTAATGTAAAATGCAGCTGCTTAAAACAATATATAAATAATTGTTTCATTGGGATATAATATATAGAAGTGTACTATATTTGATAATCGCAGCACAAAAGAAGGAACACAGCTGTGTTGGCATTTGGATAGAATATAACACAAAATTGGGCCCTCCTAGTGACACAATGAGTCCAAGCACACCACTATGAAGCTATCCACAGCCACTGCAGCACAAGTTTGATCCCTGGCCAAGAGGTGACCCAAATGGCATGGTAGACCTCTCCTGACCTTCCCATTGCTTCCCTCAGCAATTTATTTCAATAGATCTGTCTGTTCTGCTCCCCACTGTCTCTGGTGAATCCTCTCACCCCCTGAAACTCTAGCCTGTACCCCAGTTGTTGTGTGCATAAATAAATAAATCTTAGAAAAAAAGAATGAAAAGAAAATAACACAGAATGACAAGTCAAATCCACAGGCAGGAAAAAAGAACCAAAAGGTTAAATGAGAGAATTAATGTTAAAAACTTTATAAATATTTACTTTGCTACTTTCTCCTTTCAGTTCTTTAAAAGGACAAAAACTGTATAAGCTATAAAATTATAGTATATCTCATTTTTAATAAATGGTGCTGGGACAACTGGATATCTATTTTCAGAAATAAAATAGGAGCAAATGTTGATAACCTTGGATAAGGCAAAGTTATCCTAGTTATGACATCAAGAGTAAAATAAAAATATAAGAAAATTTGATAAATTGAACTGCACCAGAATTTAAAATATATATGCTTACAATTATGCCTTACAAAAAGTGAAATAAAACCCTACAAAAATGGAAGAAAAAAATTGAAAGGCATACATTTAATAAGAGACCTTCTATCAGAATAAATAAAACAGCTGCAAGTATTTTATGTATAATAAACATAGACATTTGTATTACATATAATAAAAATAGACAAGTAACATAATTAAAAATTAATAACGAATAACAAAGCTGAAGACATCCTGATTTTAAATGTCATAAAAAACTATGGTAACTACAGCAGTCTGGTATTGGCATGAAAGCAAACACATAGATAAATGGAACAGAATAGAGCCCAGAAAGAAACTCTATATATGGTCAATTAATTAATGACAAAAGATTCAGGATACACAATTGGGAAAGGACAGTAACTTTGATAAATGCTGCTGGGGGAAAAAAAAACTAAATGAGAATGAATGAAATTGTATCAAAAGTTTATACAAAATTAACTCAAAATGGATTCAACTCAGAGGTGATCAAATGACAGATGGTAGTCAAAAGGTACTCAAGTTTGAAAATAAATTTTCAGTAAGTCCTAGGGATATAATGTTTA